TCTATATACTAGCAATAAACAATTAGAAACTGACATTGCTTGAATTTTTTTTACATTGAATTTATTGGGGTGACATTGGTTAATAAAATTACATAGGTTTCATGTGTACAGTTCTACAATACATCATCTGTATATTGTATTGTGTGTTTACTATGGCAAGTCAAGTCCCCTTCACCATTTATCCCTCCTTTACCATCTTCTACCTCCCCTACCCGAACTTTCCCTCTGGTAACCACTATACTGCTGTTTGTGTCTATGAGTATTTTTCTCCTTTTTTGCTTAATCCAGTCACCTTTTTCACCCAGCTCCCCAATCCCCCACCCTTCTGAGAGCCATCAGTCTGTTTTGTGTATCTCTGAGTCTGTTTTTGTTTGTTAGTTTATTTTGTTCATTAGATTACACATATAAGAGAAATCAGATGGCACTTGACCTCTTTAATTTTAAGCATAAAATATTTCAAAGAGCATACTTGAAGGAAAGAAAAGGAGAGCTGAATTATATTGTTCTCACAATATTTTAGAGCACCTTAACTATGGAGTTAAAAGGTGTTTATTTTAGGAAGAATTTCTAGACAAATATTAAATATAAAATGTATTCTCATCATTGTTTATTAGTAGTTTTAAAAACTTGACATTTTAGCTAATTTCTTGATTCTCCTGTAGGTCTGTACAAGATGCTATGTGGATGCATAAAATATGAAAGGATCATGGCCCTTTAAAGAAGCTAAGTAAGTTAAAATATTACATAGGAAATGTACAAAAGTATATATATATAACCATAAAAACTATAATATATGTGTTATATTTAGTTTGAGGACAAATATTTGAGAACACTTATGTTTGAAAACAGAGTCCCAGATCTCTTGTGATTTAGTCTTTTTATGGAAAAGATATTTTCAAATTTTGGTTCAAGGACAACCTGTAGCAGAATCACACTGGCTACTTATGGGCACAGTTGAGTCAGAATCATTGAGAATTGGGTCCGGGGCTGTAGGAAGACCCTGGAGATCAGAAAAGAACAACAACATTCTCACCTTCCAATTGTGAACATGAAAGCTCAGAGAGGTTAATTTCTCAAGGCCATGTTGCCATTTAATAGTAATGTAAGACCTAGAATTTTGTTTATTGATGCTGAGACCAACATTCTTTCCTAGGAAGTCAGCTATTAATTTTTATCTTCAAAAGGTAAAATTTAAACATTTAAAGAAATATAAATATCCAAATATTACTCATCACTAATAAACTAAATCCTTGTTCTTTCCTAGGATTTAGAAATACCTTCCCTTCAGACTCTGAGTTATAATAAAAACTTTCCAGAAATAAAGAGGAACATGTTACATTTTATGTATCATTGATTAAATCTTTGAAATTTTGTGGTCGATTATTTTGGAAATGAGCGATTTAAAGTTATTTGAACTTTGTTCAAGTAAGAGTTTGCATTCAATAATGATTCCACAAAGTCCATAAAAACAATAATTCATGACATACATTCTTGAAGTATGTATGAGTTCTGTCCAAAAGGTATCGAGCAATGTAATATGAAAAATAGAGACATTTATTGAAGAAGACATAAGATATAAGAAACATTGTACACTGGACAATGATACCTCAGTTTTCCCAGTTGCCATCAGCTGCCCTGTGGTATTTTCCTGGATCTCATCAATAGTCTGAAATCTCTTCCCTTTCAAAAGTGATTTTAGTTTTGGGAAAAGTGAGCAGTCATGAGTTGCCATATCTGGGCTATAGAGGGGCTGAGTCACCTGGGTGATTTTATATTTCACAGAAAAAGCTTTGCATGAGATGTGAAGCATGAGTGGGCACGTTGTCGTGATGAAGCTGACAATCACCAGTTGCCCACAGCTGCAGCCTTCTGAATCATCTGAATAGTTTCCGCAGAGGAATGTTCAAGCATAAGTCAAAATTTGATGCAGATTTGTTTCCCTATTTGCTCAGTCATTTTGAATGCCACGGCCACACTGTACACATGCTCACTCAATAGCATCTACCACCCTTCCCCCGCCCCCGACTGGTACAGTGAAGTCATCATTGTTTACACATGCACATTGCAGTCCACTCTCCTTGGCTGCCAGGTTACATGGATGTCACGCAAACTGTTCTCGTTATATTAACAATGGCTGGACTTTTTCTGGACAGACCTCATGTATGCCATTAGTTAAAAAAAAGCCCTAAAATAGTTTGTGTGATTTCATTCAAGATGGATTTAAAAATTTGTTTCACCAGTCTTAATGAGCTATTAATAATTGCATATTTTCTTATGTAGATAGTTTAGTGTTCTAAAAGGAAAAGACTGTAAATGCTATTTAAGTTTTCTGTACTTTGCCTCAACTGATTACATTTTAACACCCATTTATGATGGTAAAGAGGCACCATTAGAGAGAAGGTGTGCTGATAAACTTCCCTGGTGTTCATAGATTTTTAAGAAATATGGTCCTAAAGTTTTTCAGGTCTAGTCCTTCATTTCACTAATGAGAAATGTGAGATCACTAGCCATCAGAGAAATGCAGATCAAAACCACCATGAGGTACCACCTCACACCGGTCAGAATGGCCATCATAAACAGATCCACAAACAACAGGTGCTGGCGAGGCTGTGGAGAAAAGGGAACCCTAGTCCACTGTTGGTGGGAATGCAGACTGGTGCAGCCACTGTGGAAAGCAGTGTGGAATTTCCTCAGAAAGCTGAAAATGGACCTGCCTTTTGATCCAGTGATTCCCCTGCTGGGACTATACTCTGAGAACACCAAAACGCCAATACAAAAGAACCTATGCATCCCAATGTTCATAGCAGCACAATTTACAATAGCCAAGTGTTGGAAGCAACCTAAATGCCCATCAGTAGATGACTGGATCAAAAAATATGGTACATATACACAATGGAATACTACACAGCAGAAAGAAAAAAAGAACTACTAAACTTCGCGACAGCATGGATGGAACTGGAGAGCATCATGCTAAGCGAAATAAGCCAGGGGGTGAAAGACAAATACCATATGATCTCACCTATACGTGGAACCTAACCAACAATACAAAGATGCAAGGAAAATAAGACCAGCAACACTGAAAGGAAATCAACAGAGATAAGAGGGAAGGGGGGGGCGGGGAAAAGGAAGGGAAGGGGAAAGTCAAGGAACATATAGCAAGGACTAATGGACAAAACCAAAGGGGAAGAGCTGAGGGAGGGAAGGAGGGAGGGGGCAAGGGAAAGTGGTGTTGGGGAGGCAGAGACAAATGTATTTGAAAAAATAAATTAAAATTAAATAAAAAAAAAACAAAAACAAAAACAAAAAAAACAAATAATACCATCCCCCCAAAACATGAGTAATGTTCTTTTGAAAGAGAGCACTATGTCAGAAACTGCCAGCCAAACCTCTCTGCTTCCCTTCCCAGAACTCCTGTTTTCAGCTGAGTGTATGGACATCTTAATAAAGATTACATTGTCTAGTCATCCATGGAGCTGGATATGACCATCTGACTAAGCTTTTGCCATGGAACATATGCGGGCGTTTGTGTGGCAGCTTTTGAGAAACTTCCTTAAAAGACAGTGAGGGCTTGTCCTTTGCACTCTCTGAGTTCCATCCGTGAATTCTGTTTAGAATGTGGTTGTTTTGGCTGGAGATCTATTTTACCCCAGAGGACCACCCTCGCCTAGATAACTGTGGATCTGCCATTTCAACTTTCGACTGACACTATACACACTTGCACACGGAAAAGAAAGAAGCTTCTTCCTATTTAAGCCACTGCCTTGGTTTCTGATTTTTGGAGCTGTATCTGATTATAGACAATAAATAATTTCTTGCTACAGAATTTCACTTATTCATTCTTTGAGCACAATTATTGAGCACTTTTTATGATCAAGGAACTGTACTATATGTATGAAACAAAAATTATTTTACTTTTTATTTTGAATTTTTAAAAAGTTTTAGAACCAGATTGCCCTTTTCCTTGGTCCATCCTCATCCCTCTGCCAGGTATATCATACAATTATTATTTCTTTCACTATAAAGAAATTTTTTTGACTTTGAAATTTAGATTGATGCTGTCACATGAATAATATATTTCAAAAGTTTCAAAAAAAAAGCCTAAGCAATTCAATTTTATAGGACTTCTACTAATGTTTTAAAATTTACCCCAAGTATATGTCATGATTAAAATAATGGTGCAAATGCAGTCTTTGAAATATGTAAGATAAAAATATTTGTCTTTGAATAAATTCAAAATATCATGGGACATACCTTTAAAATATTTAAATAAAAAGCATCTTCTAAGTTAACACTTAAAAATTCGCTGAGGGCCACCCTTATTTTCAGTGTTACCTACATATTAGAGAGCAGGCTGACAGCTGGGTGTGGGGGGGCGGTGTTAGTTGGGGTGAAGGGATTGAACAAAAAGGAATAAAGAGAAAGAACACATGGACATGGAACTCTGTGTCGATGGCCAGGCAGGGTGGGCAAGGAAAGGTGGCGCAGGGTACAGGGGTGATAAAAAATATTAAGTACTATTGTTTCATAAAAAAGGTTTTATTTTAAAAACAAAAATATTAAAGAATAAAAGAAAATTATTCAATTAAAAACTAAACAAGTAAAAAGGGATATTAGAATTCTGGGTGCATATGTGAGGTGAGAGTCTCTTATCCCTAAATGACTCATCTCCATATAAAAGCAAAAAGTGACTGGATGTCTGCACGACCAGAGCAAACAAGCGCAGTGCCCGCTGGCGCCCTGGTCTCATCCTGCTGCTAGGCATGGAGAAGCTTTCCCATTTGTGTTCTACTTAAATTCCCGCAAACTCTTCCTTATTGATGTCTAATTTATTAAGTTTTGAAGTTTTTGTTTTTTAAGAATAGTACATGCTCTAAGTTTCAACATGGTTTTTCATTTCTAGGTTTAAAAACTTACGGCAGTGGCAGTCAGATACTAAATAAAATTTTGAATAATGGTAGAAATACAATACAATTTGGAGATAAATATAAAAGCACACTTACTTTTGGGTCTACGTTGAGAATTTTGCCGTCTCTTTTGTATTTGAAAAGCAATCCTGCTGGATTATCAGCAATCACTTGATAATTGGGAGTTGAATTACAAGCAGCAGTATTACTGTTCCAGTTGTAAAAGCTATAAAAATAAATCTTTATTAGGAATTTATATGTATAATATATTAAATTGACAAATATATTTGTCGATATCTGGGACAGTTCAGTTTCAAGATAAGTGGATCAGATCATAATTTGCATAACCATGTAGAACACATGTGCTTAAAATTCTTGCAGAAGAGTTTAGACTGAATTATTCTCAAACCATTTACATATTTCTCAAATCAGATACATATTTATGGATATTTTGCATGATTTCCTGGTTTGGACACTCTAGGATCTAAGGTCTATTCCAATATTATATTCCCAGGAAATCAAGAAGAAAATTGATGCAATTTAAAGCTATTTTTTCCAGCTCGGATTCTTCAGGGTATTAAGAATATTCAGGGTATTAAGAGGCTGTTTACCAGAAGGAAAGACAGGCTAAATCACCTTTTTTCATTCAAAACAAATGAATTTCTTTCAGGCTCTATTTTTCAATAATATGTTTCTCAGAGGGTGAGGAAACAATTTGCATCTGTTTTATTAAGTTCTTTATAAATTTTGGATTTTAACCCCTTATCAGATGTATTAGTTACTGTAGGCCGGGCATGATGTGATGTGTTCTATCATAACCCAAGGGGAAATTTTTCTCATTTCACAGACAGGGCAAATAGACAGGGGAGGTCAACTAGCAGTAATTTAAGGCCCTTAAACTAATATGCCATAAACTAATATGTCAAGCCAGATCTCTGTTTCAAAGTACATATGTACTCTTTCTCTTTTTCAACATTACCTGCAGTTTATCCCTTTTTTTGTTGTTGTTCTTGATTTATGGAAATTTCCTATTTTTTCCATGTCTTGTTTTATACCTACTTGTCAAAAATGAATATATTATTATTATATAAGTTGGAAAAATCCTTAGTATACTTATTTTACATGTCTTATTCCTGTTAACACATTTCTAACATTATGTTAATATGTTCAGATATTAAGATGTCTCTAATATATCTAATATTATGCTATTCTGAGTTGTTTTGCCCTCTATTATTCTCTTCCATTTTGAAAAAGTAGGTTTCTTTGATTAAATTCACTCTAAATTATATTGTTTTCTGAGGCATCAACTTTTGGGCTATTACCTGAAAATGTAATGTTTACCCTCAATTTTTTTAATACTTAGAAAGGACTAATTACATAGATCATATATTTATATCTTTTGAGGTCATATTAGTGAGAACTGTATCTCTCTCATCCTCCTCTTTGTGCAAGACATAGGAGTGTCTGCCTTCTCTGGGGCACAGAGTTAGGAAAAGTGATTTTCCAACCACGCTTATTTGTTTCGTTAGTCCTTTCTGGGTGAGAAGGAATGACTATCTGATTGGTGAACTGAGGAAAGGAGCTGAGTATTCATGGTTTTGGGGATCTGCATTTTAGCTAGCCTTCATAAGCGGGATTTACCATGGCAGGCTCAGCCCCCAGTAGTAGCCTATAGTAGTGGTTATAAATTCAGTTCACTGGTATAGGTATTAGGAGACAGTTTAACTATGCACCCAAACTGGATTCTCAAATTCAGTTTAATCCATAACAAAGAAGATCATTTGATGTGCATCTTACTGGTTGTTCAGTTGGGAGTTTGCTGAATTGGAATAGGCAACATGGGTGTGATTCTAAACCTTACATGTAAGTCTCTTGAATATTTACTTATGAGATGTGTAGATATAGGTAATCCCAGTATAATGCTTGAGTTGCAACTATGCTAAGAAGTGGCATGGTTTATGTTACACATTCCTATCTTGTTGCTCAGACCTCAAATTAAAAACCTATCAAAGTCTAAGCAGCTTATGTGTGTACATGTCTGTGCGTAGTTGTTATATTAAAAATTAATTTGTTCTTTTTTATGGCTGAGTAGTATTCCATTATGTAAATGTCCCATAGTTGCTTTATCCATTCATCTGCTGATGGACACTTGGGCTGCTTCCATACCTTAGCAATAGTAAGTAATACTGCAATGAGCATAAGGGTACTTATGTTCTTTTGAATTTAGTGTTTTGATTTTCTTCAGATAAATTCCCAGAAGTGGAATCAGTGGGTCATAAGGCAATTCCATTTTTAATTTTTTGAGGTATTGTCATACTGCTTTCTGCAGTGGCTGCACCAGGCTGCATTCCCAAAAACAGAGCAAAAGAGTCCCCTTTTTTCCACATCATTGCCAGAACTTGATTTATTGATGATAGCCATTCTGACAAGTGTGAGGTGATATCTCATTATGGGTTTAATTTGCATTTCTCTGATGATTGGTGACATTGAGTACTTTTCATATGTCTATTGGCTATGTGGTCCTTTGCCCAATTTTTAATTGGATTTTATTTGGTGTTGAGTTTTATAAGTTCTTTATAAATTTTGGATATTAACCCCTTATCAGATATACTGGTGAATATGTTCTCCCATTCTGTGGGTCGTCTTTTTATTTTGTTGATGGTTTCCTTTGCTGTGCAAAAACTTTTTAGTTTGATGTAGTTCCATTTGTTTATTTTTGCTTTTGTTTCCCTTGCCTGAGGAGATAGATCAGAAAAAATATTGCTACAAGCAATGTCTGAATTTTACTGCCTATGTTTTCTTCTAGGATTTTATGATTTGAGGTCTAACATTTAAGTCTTTGATCCATTTTGAATTTATTCTTGTGTGTGGCATAACAAGGTGGTCTAGTTTCATTATTCTTCAAGTATCTGTCCAATTTTCCCAACACCATTTATTGAATAAACTATCTTCAGCCCATTGTATGTGCTAGTTTCCTCTGTCAAATATTAATTGACCATAAAAGCATGGGTTTATTTCTGGGCTCTCTCTTCTGTTCTGTTGATCTATGTGTCTGTTTTTATGCCAGTACCATGTGAAATCTAATGACTATACTGAACTAACAAGCAAAATATAGACAGACTCATAGATAGAGAGCAGGCTGACAGCTCTGGGTGGGATTGGTTAGACAGTGGAGGGATGGAGCAGAAAGGGGAAAGGACGCATGGACATGGGCAACAGAGCGGTGATTGCAGGGGGGAGGAGGGTAAGGAGGATGAATGGTGATGGAAAAATAGGATTTAAAAAAACCTAAAAAAAATTAAAAAGTTAATTTGCAGAACACATGGTACTTTTGATGAAGCAATTTGGATTGTTTGTCAATACTCTTCCTCTGGTAGAATGAGAAACAGATTTCATTTCAAAAGCTAATTCAAATAGCTAATAATTATTAGTAGTTAACAAAGATAACCAACATTTACTCAATTACAGTGTATGGGGTACTGTTTGGGGCCTAATGAATTTATTATCTCATTTAATCTTATCATAAACACTATAAAGTAAGTATACAACTGTCCCATTTTGTGCACATGTAGCCCAAGTGATCCTGAAGAGTATTTGTGGGTGAAAAATGAGAGACTACATTTGAGAAGATCCTAAAAAGTGAACTTAATGGTTGAGAAAGATATTAATGAGAAGAATATAGGACTTCTCTCAGCTTTCTGGTTTTGGTTCCTTAGTGCTTGGGTTTATTTAATAGGATACGAAATATAAGAAAAGGAACAGGTTGCGGGAGGTAAGAGGAATGGAATTCAGATTTTGACATAGTGAACTTGAAATCCCTGTGAAACATCCAAGACAATGAAAGTAAGGATCTTTGCGTTTACTGCTCTAATGCCAATACCTCCTTTGACTCCATGCCTGACACATAGTAGATAATGAATGCATATTTATTGACTAAATAGACAATGGATGAGTTTCTGAACTTTAGAGAGATTTTTTAAAGATAAATAATAGATTCTGAAGTCTCAGTGGTGCTTCAATTCAAAGAGGTGGCTGAGATGGATAAAGGAGAACATAGAGACACGGATGAAATCTGGGAACATCAGTTTTGCAGATATAGAAGAGGATTTAGCAAAAAAAATAAAAAGCAGTGATCTAAAGCCTCAAAAAGAACCAGGAGAGAGTTATTTTGTTGTAAAAACAGAATATGTTAGGAAAGCACATTTTAAGAAAGACAATAGTGCCAGATATTCACAAATTAGAGAAGATATGGAAAGAGTCCATAGAAATTTGCACTTGGAAGAACAGTACAGGACAGCAGTTGCAGTGCAGGCATAGGAACAAAATGAAGGTTATGGAGAAGTTAAGGGAAGACGGGAAAAATATTGAATCAAAATATTTCTTTTAAGAATTTAGTTGTGAAGAAAACTTTTAGTAAGAGCTTTGTATATTATTTATTAACATTCTTATTATATGGATGAGAAATCTAAAGTTAAGAGAAGATAATAAAATTTTTTAAGTTTACATATTTAATAATTACTACAATACAGCCTCAAACCCAGACTATAAAATGTAAAACAAATGCTCTTTAAACTTTTTTATTTTATTGTGGTAAGAACACTTAACAGGATATTGACCTTCTTAATGAAATTTTAAGTGTACAGTACATTATTGTACTGTAGATGCAATGTTATACAATACATCTCTGTGACTTATTCATCTTGTTAAATTGAGACTTTATGTCCATTAACACCCCAATTTCTCCTTCCCCACAATCCCAGGTAACCAGAACTGCAAGCTTTGATTCTATGAATTTGACTATTTTAGATACCTCATACAAGTGAAACCATAACTAGTTGTCTCTCTGTGACTGGCTTCTTTTACTTTGTATAATATCTTCAAGGTTATCCATGTTGTCCCATATTGCAGAATTCCCTTCTATTTCAAGGCTGAATAAATGTTCCATTGTATATCTACACCACATTTTTCTTTATCCATTCGTCTGTCAATGGACATTTAAATAATTTCCATACCTTGTCTATTGCGAGTAATTTCTTTTAGACCACATACATTTGAGTGTTTTTAAAAAAGTTTATCCAGCCAATCTATGTCTTTTGTTTGAGGAGTTTAACCCATTTACAATTAAAGTAATTATTGGTAGGGAAGGATTTTACTCTTGGCATTTTATTGTTTTCTGTTAGTATTGGGATTCTTTTGCCTGTCTTTTACTCTCTTACTGTTTCCTTT